GGGTTTATCTTTGGCCAAAAAGAATTCACGTTGCCTTATTTCTGACAAATTTAAAGTGATTGGGTGGAGGGGGGGGGGGGTAATCCAGATGTTCTGATTTTTGAAAGACTTTCTATTGTGTGTGTGGTAAACAGACTGAAAAAATTACAATGGAAAAAATATTATTTGAGGTACTTCTAAAGCATTTAAATAATTTTAACTCATATTAACCTGACTGTGTTTGAGGTAAACATTTTATTTACTAACTTTTATTTAAGGAGACAAATCGCACTGAGATCACAGATCTCTTTCACAAGGGAGGACAGAAGGCCTCCTAACGTGCATGTTTCTGGAGAAAACCCTCACAAGCACAAGGAGAACATATAAACTGCAGCCAGAACGGCCCCAGGTCCAACAGAGGATTGAACCCAGGACCTTCTTGCAGTGAGGCAACAGAGCTAACCACTGATCCATAGTGCCGTCACACCCTACAAGCTTCAGCAGTTTCCTGACTGGACTCGCTTGTAGTTCAGGCGGTGCAAACATAACTTAAAAGCAAATCAGTGTTTTAACAATTGTTCGCCTCCTTTCATGCCCAAGGTTTAAATTAAGATCTTATCCTGTAAAATGACTGCGTTACACGAGCCTCTCCACTTCATGTTTATTTTTATCTCTTTTAAAAAGACATTTGTTCTCATTGACATTTAGCACAGTGTGAGTTGATGTATTTTATTGTCTCATGTTCTCCGTTGACTTTCTTCTGATTTTTTAATTTGTTTTAATGTTGTTTTTATTTCTACCTTTGTCTTATAACCTCCGCCAAAGAGGTTTATGTTTTCAGTAATTAATTACTCCGAAAGTTATAAATGGATTTTCATGAAACTTTCAGGAAATGTTCATGTTTTCACAAAGAACCAATGCTTTAATTTTGGTTGCTACCTGGGATCACCATCCAGCTCCCGGGGTTAAAGAGGCTGCTGCAGCTTGCTGTGCTGCGACCGTAAGAAGAAAACAAGAGGACAGAAAACAAACAAGGACAGGTGGGTATCATGCCTCGCTCTACGTCTGTCGGTCAACGAAGAAAGCTAAAACCAGAACGTGTGAAAAATGTGAGAGCAGTGGACAGCAGCTCGCTGCAACGGCTACAAATTACCGCGCGAGTGACCCTCGCTTTAGCGGCGGGGTCCCCTTCTCAGAGTGATTCTAGTTATTGCTGTTGTTCAGCACTTATCATTTTTTAATGTGCTTTACATGTGCTGGTCGTAAAATTTAAATATAGTGAAAAAGTTGATTTATTTCAGTAATTCCATTCAAAAAGTGAAACTTGTATATTAATTCATTCATTACACACAGACCGATATATTTCAAATGTTAATATTTCTTTTAATGTTGATGATCATAACTGACGACTGAAGAAAACCCCAAATTCAGTATCTCAGGAAATTAGAATACTACTTGAGACCAATTAAAAAAAGGATTTTTAGAAATGTTATGTATGAACATGTACAGCACTCAATACTTAGTTGTGGCTCCTTTTGCCTGGATTACTGCAGCAATGCAGCTCGGGCTGAGTACCGAACTTCGGTTCTTTTATGGTACCGACCGAACTGCTTCAGTCAGTATACGTGTCAAAATATGCCGTTTCTTTCTGTGTCAAGTTTCGGTGATTGGTTGTAACGTTACACGTGGTTTGTTAACGTTACTGCAGCTGAATACATGCATCATGAGTTAACGTTAAATTTAAGATATTAGTGTGTAGATTTATTTTATGGCTATTTATGTAGCTAGCTAAAATCAGAAGCTAACTAAAGATTGACAGTAACAGATGAAGCTTAGCTTGTTGCTCATCCATCGGGTCAGCTGGTTAAACAGTTCAGCTAATGTTCAGTTTATGTTCTCACAGGAGCCTCTGACCCTGATGTGAGGACAGACAAAAGAAAAGTGAGGTGGGGGGCACAGGACAGTCACAAACTTTGTTGTTAAAAAAGTTTGCTGCTTTTAACTACAGTGGAGGCTGCATGGTGGAGGTAAGTAAGCTGTAAAGAATATAGTTTACCAGTTAAGCTTTTATCTCTCAGCCTAGATAATGGTTTTTGAACAATAATAACACAACCATGTTATTGTTGATGTTTTGTGTTCTAATGTCAATTAGGAAGATGATAAGAGCCGTAAACACCAGAGAACCACAAAGAAGATTCAGGAAGAGATTTCATTCAACCTGTATTTAAACAGGTTAATCCCATTGAGCCTCGAGGACTCATTAACAAGAAAGACCTGATTTCAACAAAGAATGATGACAACAAAGGACAACAACAACAACAACAACAACAACAACAACAACAACAACAACA